CTACTACTTTCTCTATATCTCCCTCTCTCTCTATTTGTGTGGGTTAGAGGGTGCAAAAGGGTATAGTTCTTGGCCATTTGAACTACACCTCCTAGCACAACACCTCCATCATCAACCTAAGGAGCTTGGAGCCATTTTCAGAGGCTAAGGGATTGTTTTTTTGGACCAAGAGGCTGCTGTCCCCTTTTGCCTACAAAGGTAACTTCTTACCCTCTTTATTCCCGTTTTTTGCGCACACTTTTAGCCTTACTTGAAAGCATATTTGGACTTTGTCATAAACTGAAAAAAAGTCTTATTTTGAGCTCCTTTTGAATTTTGTTTAAGATCACTTTTGTGTTTGGGCCGTTTACCCTCTCTTGGCCTTGTTTGGCCCCATTTTGTGCTATTTTTGGTGAGCTTCGGGACCACCTTGTTTGGGCCTCCTCACCACTGAAATCTTGAGGGATTTCAGTGTGAGGATGGTGCCTTGAGGTCCTAAGAAGGATAAGGCCATCCCCTCTCCTTGTTGTCTTCAATAATGGCCATTATAGCCTCATGTGTGAAGCATCATTTCTAAGTGCATGTTGGCATGTCTTAAGTGTTATTTGGTAGTATTTTGCCATATATTACCTCTGTTTTTACTTGGTTTAGACACACCATGGCTTATCTTGTATACATGTCTTCTAATGCCATGAAGCTAGCTCCTGACAAAATAGGACAGGGAAACCTTACCCCTTGAGCCCTCATTAAGGTCTGAGATGGTAGTAAACATGTAAAACTCATCCATTCAAATCCTCTCTGCCCCTAGATCTCACGCTGCTGCAATAAGGATTGCAGGAGAATTACGTGCCCTGTTCTCTGTACACTTTTTGTCTGGCAGTGCTTGAAAGTCAACCCGATTTTGTATATCGCAGGTACGTGTGGAGATACAAGATTTAATTATTCTTTCTCCAGTTTTAATTTCCTTCATATGAGTTGATATTTTAATTTTGCAATTGTAGGTTTATTACCGATTTCTGTCTAGTAGCTGAAATGGAGCTTTGGACTGTTGAAAACTCCAACTATAATTTTCTTCTCTCCAATAGATAATTCTTACATTAGTTTATCCAATTGATTCCAAAATCGTCCTTTAATATATTCCTCCAATCATATTTGGTCGATACTATCAAAACTGTTGTGCTGGCTAATACCACGATCTAAGACCATTCTTCTAACGAAAACTTTCATGAGATGAGTATATTGCAGTACATGTAGTGCCTTCAAATTATCTTGTTTCCCACTCATTTAAATATGGAAACATAATTTCTTCTTCTTTTATTATTATATTCAATACTGGTTCTTGCATACTTTTGACAGGGGACATGTTCAATCATGAAATACTTTCATGGCCAAGATCAGTCCAACTGTTCGTCCAAGCAAGCGAATGACAGATTTGTCGCAGAGGCTGCACCATTGTCACCCTCCGGTACTGTTCTCATACTGTATGTTGCTTTTTGTTTCTTTTTACTTTAGTTTTACCATTAGTTTTTCACTTTTGGTAAAGTATGGCATTCTTTCAAGAACTGCAAGATATTCAGAGTTGCGTACAACTGAACTGCTCATAGAATTCCATGAGGAAGAAATAAGGATTAGGTATGCTGAGTCTGGATCAACAGGAAAACAAGGGAGAAGTATCTACGAGAGAGGTTTGCATTTATGTTGGCTTAAATTTAGTTTATTGATTAATTGTTTTAATGGGTACCAATATATTGTTACAAGAAAGCTAAGGGAGAAGTATCGTTTCTAGCATTTGAATATCTAATGATTATGACATGGATGGTTCCTTATTTTATTTAATTGCGCCTTTTGATCATGTTTATTCTATGTCCTAGGTATATGGCATATATTATGGACACTAATGAAGAGGAGAGAGTTAAGGTATTTTTCGTGTGTCTAGTTTGGGTCACTTCTTCTCAAAGGAAAAGGAAAAACCAAAAAGGGTCAATTTACTTGCAATGTCTCTCAATACATAGCTTTGATCTAAGAAATGTAATTGCTATTTACATTTTAGTTCTTTCTAGAGCATCCTCTTCAAATATAAATCCTAGTTTATTTTAGTTCTTATCATTGATTAGTTTCTATTTCTTTTCTTCCTCAGGTACACCTTATTCTGAAAGAACTAGCGAGGAAATCACTATCAGCAACACAGGTAAACAATCTTCAATTTTTTTTCCCCCAGTGAGATGGATCATCTTTGGTTAGTAATATTTCTTTGCAAAATAATTTAAATATTTTACTACCTAACCTCAACATGTTTATATTTCTACACATTTGGAAGTATTCAAGTTGTTTGGCGCATCTGACATGCATACTTCAGTTAGTTTGAAATATTCATGTAAGCTTATCAATAACTTTAGCAAATTCCTTGTTCTTAAAAAATGTAAATAAAAAATGAGTTTCTTAATTAGGTGAATGATCCTTGTTTATTTAAAAAATGTAAATAACTGGTGTTTCTTTAAAATGTAGAAGTGTATAATCTTCTAATCATTATCTTATTCTACAGGTCCTTCAAAAATATGTAAAGAATTGGATATAAATTCCTGTACCATTTCAGGATAAGTGATGACATACCAGTTGACAAGGATACTAGTTTGAGATTGCAACTTGATATGTCAATTTTTGAAAGTTTTTTGAAAGCAGAATCAAACATTTAGGCTAGCTGCTTATGTGATATAACTGCTTGAATGCCTGTGGATGGAGGTTGAATTACCTAAATTGGAATAATGCATTAAAACTGTGAGTTTTAAGCCCACTAGATAGTGGCAAAATCATCTTTTCTAAAAGCCCACTTGAGGGTGGCAAAACCTGCATTTTAGCCTACTTGCGAGTAGCAAACCATTTTCAAAACAAACATGCAATGTTTTGTTCCAATTTAGGCGATTTGGTCTATACTTGTTTGCTGTGCGCATAACATTGTAGATACCCCATTTTTGACCGTCCTCAAGACTTGGACGTCACCGTTTGAACACTCGGTGATCATCCATGCTCATGTTTGTTTTGAGTTCCTGGAGGTCTCGGCTACGTGCCTTGCTTTAGGATCTCTCAACTCGACTGTTCTGTGGTTGGTTTTGCACCAAACACTTGTGTTTTTGTTTCTGAGACAGGGAGTGGCTTTCTAGCCCCCCCCTGAGACCCACTGGCCGTGGTTTGAGGCCACCGGCCGTGTCTTCTTGATACCGGCCATTGGTGAAATAGTCCATTGGCCGGTCGGCACTATGAGTGGTCGACCGGCACTTTATTTGGCTGGTGGCCTCATTTTCTAGCCGGTATCACTTTTTCCCCTTTTTCAGGCATAACACATGCCAGCTGTGCCACCTGGAGTGCACAAACCTGGCCGTCCATGCACGAGTGTGGCTGTTTTGCCCGTTTTGCACCTTTTTGGTCTAGCTTCTTGAGGAAGCTTGGACCTTTGTCTTAGCTTCCTCAAGAAGCTTGGACATCTGTCCCAGCTTCCTAAGGAAGCCTTGCACCCTTGTAGACGCGCCCGCGTGGGGGCCCCGCTACAGTTCGGACTCGATTTGTGTCACGGTTCTAAATCTGAACCAAAGAGTCCAAATCCGGCAAATCGTTTTGAGAACACAGATTTTGAAAGAAGTGCCAAACATGGACTGCTTTGCCAGATACAGAGTCGCCACCTAAATATTTTATTAAGGGGGAATTTAGGAAACCCTGACTCGGTGCCAAAGGCCACGTGTCCGTCATCACCAAAGTTGCCTCGGCTCGGGAACTTGGGTACGATCGGGGAAGGTCAGCTATGAGCACCCCCTCTCGCCCGGTCTGAAGACCGGCCTCTACTAACCGTGATATTCTGTTTTGAAAACGTTTATGTGTTCTTATTCTGGTTATTAGCCTAGAATTACTATGTTATGCGCACAGCAAACAAGTATAGACCAAATCGCCTAAATTGGAACAAAACATTTCATGTTTGTTTTGAAAATGGTTTGCTACTCGCAAGTAGGCTAAAATGCAGGTTTTGCCACCCTCAAGTGGGCTTTTAGAAAAGATGGTTTTGCCACTATCTAGTGGGCTTTAAAATTCACAGTTTTAATGTGTTATCCCAATTTAAGCAATTCGACCTCCATCCACAGGCATTCAAGCAGTAATATCACGTAAGCAACTAGCCTCATGGTAATCATGCTATCATGGCAACACTCACACGCATGCAAGGATGCTAAAGCATAAATACTTACATCGTACTCCGTGCCAAAACAAAGAACTCGTTAGTAATCAATGCATGATCCAAGTCCATGTTTAAATGCCTAATGCAACGCACACGGAATGTCACTAGAGTAGGCTCGGCTAGTCTATGAATGATATGTGAAAATGCACAGGTAGCATGTATTCAAGTTAGATTTGAAATGCTAATGCTGTTAGCATGATGCGCCGAGCCTGGTGCATGTAAGACAAATGTATGGATGCACGCATGCATAGCATAAGGTATGCTAATTTAAATATGCCCTAGTCTACCATCATAAGCGGGTAAATAAAAGGGAAGAAAGACGTGGGGTTGGAAGACATGCACACAAGCACCCACACTTATTACAAATTTGCCCTCACTCGGAGGGGCCAAATAAATATTACAAATTAATTAATTACACAAGCTAATTAAATATTACAAATTAATTAATTAATTAACAAATTAACTAATCTAGGAAAAACAGTAAACCGCCTCGGGAGGAGAGACAGATGCAATGCGCGCTCGGTCCTGCTCGGAAATGCACCACCATGTATAGGCTGCCTCTGTTTTCCTTCCTCTGCTCCTCTGGAGGCTACCAAAACCTCAGGACTGCTTCCTTGGACAATGGGGATCATCACCGGCTGAATGGAATTGCCACCGGCAGTGTGGTGTTGTCACCGGCACAAAACAAAGCTATCGGCTGGTGATTTACTGCCGGTCGGCAAAGAAAGTTTGCAGAACCTGCAACTCACAGCAACAGAGGGCAAGACAAAGCATGGCAGCACAATTCAAGGCATATATGCACCAACCATGTCCCTTATCATGGTAATGACTCAAAGGGGCATGTGCCTCGATTCTCGGACCACCAATCACGCATTTCCATGCATGATGGCCCAAGGAATTAAGTATGCAACTTTCATGTCAAATGAAATGCAAACCAAACAAACAAATCAAGGCCCAATTCCTATCACCAATTCAAGGAACAAGGCATGCATGCAAGATGCAATGCAACCTAGGCATGCAAGCTAAGGATGCAACATGGCATGGCAAGACATTTATGCAAGCATACAAGCAAACATGAGGCAATGCCAACCAATGAAAGTGTGGACTTAAACATGATTTGGGCAGCTCTAAATGGGCCCAAAACAGCGGCCAAAATGCTATAAAATGAGGGCTAAATGGCATGCAAACACACATGCACACAAGGACTAACACTTAGGCACAAATTGGACAACTCTCAAGCACACTTGAAAGAGGCATATCATGGACAATTAACATGCAACATGAGCTCTGAAAATGCATGAGGATGGTGTCAAACCAAGCAACAAGATAGGCTAACATTAACATGCAAAATGGTCCAAGTACTTGAAGCCGGTCAAGGGGACTTGAACCATGGTTAAGCCAACCAAGCCTCGCAAGACTAGGAGGGCTTAAAATAGGTGCAAGACAGACCTAGACCATGCAAAAGGGACTCCCTAGATGGCATCTAAAGGGGCTCAATTTCAAAGCATGCACTATGGCCAAAACACGGAACATGCCACACATGCTTTCAAAGCATTAAAGAAGCATTCAAGGCAAACACATAGGCATGAAAATGGGACTGAAATAACACGTAGGGTGGCCCCAAATCACCAAATCAATGCAAAGATGTCATGCTATACATGCACATACTTAAGGCCAACAAGCCGGAATGCAAAGAGGCTATACTAAGCATGCCAAATCCGACCCAAACAACCATGGACAGACCTAAAACATGGCAAAATATGCGCAAAACCTTCACAAGACTAAGCCTAAAACATGCTCCAACAAGGGCTAACAACCTAAGGCACATTGAGGCAATAACATGGCATTACATGGTAGGTATGCTAAGCATGCATGGTGTACCAAAACCAATTTAAAATCATGTTATATTATGGAAATATAAGCATGAAAAACAGTCTATACATGCTCAACACACACTCAAACATAGGCTCCCTTTAGAGGCCAAAACATGCCCTTTTCAAGGACAACAAGGAGAGGGGGTGGCCCTCTCCTTCTTGGGACTTCAAGGCATCACCTTCACCACTGAAATCCCTCAAGGTTTCAGTGGTGAAGAGACCCCGACACCAAAATCCCAGAGTTCTCACAAAATAGCACAAAATGAGGCCTTTCAAGGCCTAAGAGGGGTCAAACACCCTCAAATCACAAAACACTCTTACTAAACAATCAAGAGGACTAAAAAATAGAACTTTTTTGTATTATACACTAAGCACAAAAACAGTTCTAAGATAGGTAGAAATAAGGTAATGGGGAATAAAGGGGTGAGATTCTTACCCTTGAAGACCTCTTCAACAATGATGCTCCAATGGCCTTCCTTGGCTTGAATCCAACACCAAAACACTAAAATCAGTCCCTTAGAACCTCAGTAGCTAGACAAAGGTGAAACACTAGGTGTTTATGTGCAATAGTAAGACACAAAACACCTAGAGCACAAAGAGAGAAAAAGAGAGATAGGATATGTATGGATCCTAACCCTAAAAAACAGAGCTTCTCTCTGTGTTTTTTTGTCTCTAAAATGTCTAAAGTCTCTAACCCCTCAAGCCAAGAGACAAGCCTTCCCTTTATAGAAGCTTATTGTCTTGTAAAGCTTACAAGACAAGCTTCCAAGAGAGAAAGCAAGACAGCTGTCTTAAAATATCAGCAAAAGCAGATGCACAGTAGTCGGCCTGCCAAAAATGCCATTTTGGCAAAAAAGAGTGCCGACCGGCAGAAAATAGTGCCGACCTGCAACAAAATGTGCCGACCGGCAACAAATAGTGCCGATGGCAGCAAAAAACTAGCCGGTGACCTCTAGCCACTGCCGGTGGTGAGTGGGGATGCCTCACAAGGCATTCCCTGCCCCTCCAAGGCAAAACACAAGTGTTTGGTGTAAAACCAGACACTAAACAGTCAAGTTCGGAGATCCTGAGGCAAGGCGCGCGAGCCGAGACCTCCGGGGACTCCGAACGAACACAAACATGGATAATCACCGAGTGTTCAAATGGTGACGTCCAAGTCTTGAGGACGGTCAAAAATTGGGTGTCTACAACCCTTTGCTTAGCTTCCCTTAGAAGCCTTGACCCTTTAGGATAGCTTCTCTTGGAAGCTTAGCCTTTCCCTTGGTCTATATAAGAGTCCCTCCTCTCTCCTTTGTTTTGGTTAAGAAAATCCAGACCTAATACATACATATATCTGATATATCATCCTCTCTCTCTATATCTCCTTCTCCCTCTCTTCATTTTGTGTGTGTTCTATAGCCTAAAAGTGTGTTTAGTTCATAGTATTGCACTAAAACACACACTATTACACCATACTTCGACTTTGGGAGGCATTGAGGGTTTGTTCTTGAGGTTTTGGACTGGTTTCGATCAGAAGAAGAGGGCTGCATTTGCTATTCTTCAGGGATTCTCCAAGGGTAACACTTTTATTTTATATTCCCCAA